TAATCCTGGGTAAAGTGGATTTCAAATATTATAAGTAATGGATAAAATTTATTTTTAACAAACGAAAATTTCACTTAACATTATTATTATAGATTATAAAATTAAAACTAAAAAAATCACAAAAAAATACTCACATCAGCCATGATTGCTAAAAGTTCGTCGTGAGAGACAGGTCCTTCCCTGGGCTTCAAATCAATAACGCTTTTGATTTCATCAGGAGCTGCCCACTCCACCACCTTAGCTGATCTCTGGGACCTACCGAACACCACTCTCTCCACCAACAAGTCCACAGCTCTTCGTATAAACTCCTCATGTTTCGATCTCTCAGGGAGACTTTGAAACAGACTTTCTTTTATCGCTTCTCCCGCTACTATAAGATTAGAATCGGCAGGCATGTCTATATCTTCTTGACTCTTTCCCGAATGTTTTATCTAGATGTTATTTAGTTTAATATGCAGTAGTCGGCTGGAAATGTATTGATGCTTACGGTCGGCCGCAGCCATCAGTGTTACGGTTTTGGCCCCACTCTGAAAGCGTAGCCTTCTTAAATACTCCGCACGACGTCAGTTCACTTTGTTAAGGTTACAACTTAGAGCGCATTATGGATGCAGATTTAACAATATAGATACGTTTATTTGTTTATAAAACATTATATAGATGCAATAACGTAAAAAAAACCTTTATTAAATCCTATTTTTCCCAAAATCAGTGAATTCGGAATATCGCGTTAATCGCAATGGTATCGCAAATATTTGGAGTTAATTCAGGTGCACAGATTTTCCCCGAAATTTTATTTTTCATTTATAAAAAAAAACTCTGCTTAAATTTAAAATTTTAACCAAATAAAAATATTTATGTTTATTAATAATGCATCAATAACATTTCATGTTTTACAAAATTACACGTTATAAAGAGGTTTTCTTATAACTTCACCACAGATAGAACTAATGTCAGTCGGGTACAAACTCAAAATGAGTTGACGTTTAGTTTTACGACATATTCTACATGACTGATACAGGATTAAAGTAACCTTCATCTGGGAACGTATCTCTTTAACTCGTCCCCTCTGGACAATTATAACGCGGCAAAAGATACCATCTCTGTCTGTAACATCTTACAGATTCTAGTAAAACATTTTGTTCATTCATAGAGCAATTGAAAGTGTTAATAAATAATATTTATAGGGTCTTCTCTTTGATGCAGTTAATTACATACGGAAGGATAAACGATATGTGATTATATGAATATTGACTAATTAGATAATGTATTGAGGGATTTAAACTTCACACTTACTCTCAAACTTATTCATTAGGTTCCTAGTATATGTGCAAGATGGGTGCTTTTAGATCGGACAAATCCGTTAAGAACGGAACGGCACGATCTCAGTATGAACCCGCTCCTGTCGTTATTCTAATTCATCAGGTCATAAAGATGATAGAATTATTACCTCAATGACTTGGATTGTTTGTATCTTGGGAATTTCGATATCAACTCTAATACAAAAATTTAAGCCATCCGATTAGCTTATTTCCTTCTAATGTATTAAGGAAAATCATACTGATAAATAGATATATAATTCCAAACTACATAGGCACAAATAAACATTATAGAGTTGCAATATTTTGTCAATTTTGTTATTTTATTTACTCCTGCACAATCAAGTGTAACAAAATACATTTCCTATCGCCTTGACACTACGTTTTTCGTTCTTCTAATTATCGATATTATTCCCGCTAAGGAGGCAGTTTTACATGACCAATCAACTGCGAAAAACAATGACGGTCGACTTCAGTCCGATTAGTTACAGCTTTTAATCACGATATTAAAACGAAATCTCGATTAATGTCTCTATACATATATAATTTACATTATGTATGGTAGAATGACTAGATAGAAGTCCCGTAGGAGTAAGATTGGCAGTGATTATTACGCACGAATATAGTTTGTTCTAATATTATAAATGCGAATGTTTCGATGGATGAGTGTATGACTATTTGAAAGAAGGTATCTCCAGAACAGTTGCATAGATCTCGCCGAAATTGGCATGGATGTAGATAATAGCCTAGAAGAATGCACAGACTACTTATTAAGTTTTTTATTCCGCGGACGCAGTCTTAGGAGACAGCTAGTTCAACAGATAATTTCAATTTTACCTTCTTCAAATAATTTTTCGCGTTCCATTTTTTTTGTTCTTTCTTTTCTTAGTTTTTTCAGCCAGTTACGAACAGTTTTGAACATAACGGAGTAACACTACTTCTCAGATTCATTTCAAGATTACCTAATATATAAAAGCAACAGCTGTTCTTATTAATTTTGCTTCTTCAAAACCAATAATAAATACTAACAAAGTTATGTATACTTCTTTATAAAGTCAGGATTACGTTGTACAATGACGTTTCGAATCCTTAAAAAGAAAAAAGGATTTCAAACAATAGGTGCAATTAAATATTATAGATTGCGTTTGAACAAAAAGTCATCTTATACGTTTCCAAGAATAAAAAAATCTGTAGTAAATAATTACTGAAAAAATACTGACCCATAATCTAAATAGTATTTAATTATGCAGAGACAATTACGGTGTTCTTTGTAATGCATTTTTTGTTTTTAAATTTTTCCAAATGAGTTTTGAAAATGGAAATTGATGGAAACATAAAAATAAATATAGATATCCAAAGAGGTGATTATTTTTCATTAAAAATTAAAAAAAAAAACAAATTAATTTTTTTTCAATATAATAACACTAATATTCTATAACTTCCCGAATCAATGCACTTGGTGGGTTGTTATTTAAGAATTGTGATAATTTGATTTATCGATAAATTTCGATTCGTAAATAATTGCGGTAATCCAAATTAGTCCTCACTACCTAATTCCTAGCAAGCATTTCCTCTCATTCTCTTTAAAAGAAAACTAGAGGTGAGAATTTTTGTGGAAACAGCGCGTTGTAATCTAAAAACCTAACCCATTTTGTATTACAAAGATGCATTCGAGATAGACGTGTTGATGCTAGGACTATCCTTGCAGCTTTTCACAACTTTGCTCTATAAAGCGGAATTAGTTTAAATTTGTGAAGGTGAATGGATTCGCAGCCATTACAGTTAAGTTAAACGTTGACCTTGGCTATGACAAATTTTTGTCGAAGTCAATACTTTTTTCCAACTCATTGAGAAAACAAAATTTATCCCCGTATACAAGGAAGTATGCAACAAGGATAATGAAGCAAAAAAAAAATTGTGATTTCCCTAACACCAACTCATTCCGTTAATTGGAATGTTCGTACTTCAGGTACGTTACTTTGTTCAATTACATGATGACTAATAGCTATAACTTCAATCATAAGTTAATAAATGCATATACGTTTTCCCGTAATACGTCTGCAATTGAATTGTAAAAAAAATAGCTTAATTATAGAGCAATCAATTTTTAAAATTCTTTTTATAATCGATTAATACATGAACCTGTTTTGACATTAAAACAAACAGATAAAAAAGAAGTCAAAAACAATTCCTCTGTATATTTTTTAATTTTCAAGTGGCCAGTGTTATTATGAAAGAAATCGATTATATCCGACAGGATCTCGATATTATGGACTGAAATCTTTTTAGTGGGTAGTTGTTCAATTGACATTGAATTGTTTGATTGCTCAATTAAGCGCCCCCTTTAATTTCTCATATTTATTTCATTAACAATGGTAAAGGGGCCTTAATGATTTTGCGTTTGTAAAATAATTTCATACTCTGCTTTAACCAGCAATATGTATATAAAAATGATTATTATGATTGACTGATTTGATATAGGAATAATCTATACATATTAATAAAATTAGAGTGTCTGTATGTAACATCTAGAAAAAGCTATATTTTGTTCACGTGATTATTTACTTGTACTTTTGTGATAATAAAAACCAATTTTTAAAAATTTGTCTTACTGTCTATCCGCAAGGCCGCGTTTGTACCGGGTAATCCCGTAAACGGTGGCTACACCGATTATGACGGGACTTTGACGGGAAGGTCTTTATTTCTTTAATTCCGCACTGACAAATTCGCAGCCGACCGCTACCTTGACAAAAATACTTTGTTTTTTTATCTCCATAAGTACTGGTTAAAGTTGACAGTATTACACGAGAAAGTTACAATGTATATCTTATTCCAGTTCAGTATAATGCAGATCCTACATTTAGTACCTTTTTCTAACTATATTACGTTAACTTTAATATCTATTCTTATACTTAAATACTTTAATATTAAAACAGAAAGAAAAACTAATCACCTTCCACGATTTCGCAATTCGCAACGTATCATAGTAATTATTAACCGTAACCCTGACACTCTTGACCCAGATTAGAATAATCATTTTCTTTTAATGAAATGGGACTGTGATTTAACAAGCACTATATCTACTTTTTTATCATTTAAAAGAAAATATCATTTATATTGATAAGAGCTAAGATGGAATTGATAAAAAACGTCAAGAATATATAAGTTGAAAACTAGAATAAAGTCGCTTAACAACGTTGCAGCTAATATATATAAATTTCTTTCAAATTGACCAATTATTTTTCTCAATATAAAGATGTTTGTAATTTATCTCTAGATATTGGCAGCCTAATTCAATATTTCCATAAGACACAAAAAAACAAACATTGAGTAATGTTTTATGTTTCTATACTTCAAGAACTAAATATTTTCGGGATCAACGTTATCCTTTGCTCAGTTTTGAAACGCTAATAGAAGAAAGTACTCCTGCTGTGCAAACCAAAATGGGCCTTATAATCGATGTAAATGAAAACACAAAAAAATTATAAATGCATAAAGAATGTATGTGTAAATAAAATCATTTTCTAGCACCACAAACTTATATGACCCGGTAAGGTAAAGTGAAACTAATTAGATTTTTATTTATTTTATAGATCAAAAGCATTGTAGCGAATGCCATGAAAACTGTTTAATTGTCACCGTCACATTCAAACGTCAGGTGTCAAAGTCAATGTCAATACGAATTTTGCTCTCGTAAAACTTATGTTTTATACCACATGTTTAATTTATATTTTATAATATCTTAAACTTTATATAAATATGGAAGAAGACGGCCAGTTTAGCGACTATGAAGAAGATTTATCTGTTAAAGTAAAATCAGTTCGTGTAAGTGTTAAATATTCAATATCAATCAGTGTTTTTTTTTTCAAAATATTTAATTTTACTCGTTTTATATCTTTATATATTTTATTTTATTTAAATCTAATTTTCAACTCGCTTATCCTTGAATTCAATCGATATTTGTTGCATAATTATTAATGTAAAACTTTTAAATATTGCTGACTTAACCTCAACCCAACAAAGATTATATTTTACTGCATAAAAGATAAAGTTAAGCCAGTCAGCAAAGTAATATTATTCAAAATCTTTTTATAATGGGAAATGCATTATTATTTTCAGTTTGCCGATCTGCCTGTAATTCATAAAGGCAATAGTGATGATGAAAACGATGATGATTTGGATTCAGATGACTATTTCTATGACTCTGATGATCCAACACAAGGTAGTAAAAAAAAGGAAAACGTAAATCCACAAGCTCCATCACATAAAGTGATCACGTACCAGCCAAGTGAGAAGTTATTTAAGAAATACATAAACAAGATCAATGTTGATAAATATGAACCAAGTTACTCTGATAATGCACAAAAATTTATGGATTTAAACGATCGAAAAGTGGATAACGAAAGAATAAGAATGAAAGACAAACATGACAGAGCCACAGCTGAACAAGTAATGGACCCTAGAACAAAAATGATATTATTCAAACTCCTCAACCGTAGTATCATTAATGAAATAAACGGTTGCATATCTACTGGTAAAGAAGCAAATGTATATCATGCAACTTCAAAGGATGGTAAAGACTATGCAGTGAAAATTTATAAAACATCAATTTTAGTGTTTAAAGACAGAGATAAATATGTGTCCGGTGAATACCGTTTCAGAAATGGCTATTGCAGATCAAATCCTCGTAAAATGGTAAGAACTTGGGCTGAAAAGGAAATGAGGAATCTTGTAAGAATGTATAATGCACAATTGAATGTTCCTGAACCTATAATTTTACGTAGTCATGTATTGGTCATGACCTTTATGGGAGAAAAGGGCTGGCCCGCACCGAAACTAAAGGATGTAGAAATATCACAGTCAACTGCAAGATCTTTATACAGAGATTGCATTACAATGATGTGGAAAATGTTTAATATTTGTAAATTAGTGCATGCTGATCTCTCTGAATATAATTTACTATACCATAATGGGAATATTGTGGTGATTGATGTATCACAATCTGTGGAACATGACCATCCCCATGCATTTGAGTTCTTACGGAAAGATTGTACAAATATATCGGATTTCTTTAGGAAGAGAGGTGTTGCTACTTTGACTGTTAAGGAGCTTTTTGACTTCATTACTGATGCTTCAATAAACGAAAGTAATTTGGAAGAATGTTTGGAGAAGCTATCAGATAAGGCTGCTTTAAGAAATTTTGAGGAAATGACGGCACAGGAGCAAGTAGAAGAGGAAGCATTTAAAAACATTTATATTCCTAAAAGGCTTACTGAGGTAAACATTTTAAGTAACTAGCTGCAACTGGTGACGTTTCCGTGGAATCAAAAAAAAAATAGTAACCCATGTGCCCTGTTCGTACTTTTCATCCAAATCCATACAGCCTTTCTAAGGTTATGTGGTAAGAAATATCATCCAAAATTTGTCATGTATAACATATTATTTTTAATATGAGTTTACAGTATTACTTCCTTTACAAAATATTTTCTTAAATTTTGTCAGGTTATAAACTTTGAACGCGACATCAGCAAGGCTAAAAAAGGCGAAACCGATGATCTTACATATAAAAAAATAGCTGGCTTCAATGAGGACCTTACGGGAACAGTTGACAAACCTAAGATATTGCAAGAAGATGATGTGAATGATGAAGACGGCTCCGAGTCTGGCTCAGAAGACAGCTCTGATGATGATGATGATGATGATGATGAGAATGGGAAAAGTAAGACTACATTTTATATTGTTTATATACTGTCAGAATATTAACATGGTTATGTTACACAGTCTCCTTGCTTTTATTATAATTTTTTTGTTTTGTGTTCTTAAAAATTTTTCATACCCAATACATTTCGATACAAAAAATTATAGGAGCCCGAAACATGATAAACCATAGAGAGAGTGTCTTTTCAAATTCTTGTTATATTCATTTAAATTTTTATTATTTTCAGAGGGCAAATTTAAAAATAGCGCTCGACCCAAGGATGAGTCCCCGGAAAGTAAGAAATCGAGGAAAAAAGCTGTCAAGGAAGAAAAAGCAGAGAAAAGAAAAACGAAAACCAAGAAACACGTTAAGAAAAGACGGGACAAGGGAAGTGGAAGAAAGTAAAAACATATAGATTATAAATAATATTATAATAAGATTTTAATATTAAATAAAACACTTTAATTATCTTATGCATTTTATTACAAAGTACAAAAGAAGGTTGTCGTCCTTTGACTCGAAGGTACAGAATTTAAATATTTTCTATCTTTGTTTTTACACCTATTAATTAGACGCAAGGTGTAATATTTTTATCCAATGGATTTAAATAAACATTCTAACTTAAATATAAGACTGTCTTGAGTAATTAAATATTTATTACATTATTTTTATTCCGATTCTTTATTTTAAGGTCAAACTTAAATAACCTTACTACTAAATATTAACAGATAGAAGTAAGAAGCACACCTCAAATAATTTAAAAATAAATATTTTTTTTATTTTAAAGCATAATTATTACCCGACAGAAACATTGGCAGAGATAAATTAGTTTCAAATTTAAAAAAAATAAAATAACACACGACTAGCTGAAATCGGCATGCGTTGCAACCCAAACTTACGCCAAAGATGTAAAAAACCAAAAAATGAATGAGATTACAAAATTTTATGTCTAAAAAAAATACTTACAACTAGTGCAATGTATTAATAAGAAAAACCACAAAGGTGATATATCAACGTCTCTACAAAATCAGCTTAATGGTCTGAAGATCATAATCTAAAATCAAATTGTCCGTATCTTTTCTATACCTATTGTATTGTACATATTAAAATCAGTCATACTCGCCGTCGGAGCCTGCGTCTTTGGCTAACAGCCCTAAGTTAAACCCCGTCAAATATTAGAAGCATAATTTTCTATTTAATTAAGGAGCCAAACGAGCAATAGTGAATCATTGCTCATGGACATCTGCAATACCAGAGAGTTTCACTTGCTTCTTAAAGGACCCTAAGTCGTAATGATTAGGTTAGAATTCCTATGCTTACAGATTTACAATAATTTATCACATCAGCTTGTACTGGCCACTTGGAAACGTTGCAACAATCATGTTGCAAATCTCCATTTTAAACCGAAAAAGGATAATAACCTAAAAATCACCATAATCAAGATTATTAGGCTCATTTCAAACCAGACTGAGGTTTTGTCAATATCCAGATATTTCAATAAAACGTCAGGTTTTGCGAAGTGGCAATACATATCTTTGCACTCTAGAGGGGTTCTACCGAAGCCGAATATTGTGAGGACCATTGCGACCACACCGCATCTGATGAAGGATGTCTTCATCAGGATGTTCATGAGCAGTGGAATGCGATGAGCGAAGTCGAAGCCGTAGATTGCCAAACCAAGGAACGGAGCTATCGCTGTTGGTCCTATAGCACAGCCATTCTGAAACATAACGATTTATAAATTATAAAAAATGGTTTATATTAAAAGTAATTTCCCGTAAGTTATGTTTAAATTTCGATTTGTACTAAAATATTAATCAATTACTCTTTCAATGCAATTAATCTAATTTATTAATTTCACAGAATTTAAGCAAATAGTACCTTTTCTAATAATTTTTATGACAATAAGATGGATAACAATACTATTCCCTGCAAATTTCGTAATAATGAATATAAAAAATAACGTACTTGTACGTTGAAGACGGATCCAATAGCCATACCCATGCCTTCAGAGGCGAGGGAGACGATGTTAGCTATCAGACAGAAGCAGATGAATCTGGTCACAGCAAACGGCACACCGACCATAAAGTATACGATGGTACAGAAGACAATGTTCAATGTCACTTGCACCGGTAACTTGGAGACGGTCAGTGCAGCGTAGTACGGACACAAACTATACCAGCCGTTGAAATGCTCTTTCTTTACAAGTTTCACTTCTTGTGGATCTGAAAAACAAATCGACCTGTTAGCGATTTAAGGAATTTTAAAGTAATTTTATTCTCCATCCGTCTTCTTTTCCTTATATGAACATCTATCCTATTCTTAACATGAAGTTAATCCAAGATACAACTACTGATTCGATTTTTTTGCCGTCTATACCTAAGTTATAGTGTTTATATCTTCGATTAATATTATTACAAGACCAATTCTCGATAGTTCATAGTTGTTCATAATGCGCGTACGGTCCGACACTATAACAACCGCCCAAGAAGTACAACATTAATCCTCATACAAAGTTAATTGGATACTTCATAGGCGACACTTTTCAAACTAATCTAACTTAAATAGACACTATAGTGTATTTAGGCCATAGCAATTTTTTTACGACATATAATTTTAGCTAATCATTACAAAAAGACATGATAAAGATCAAAGTGACTTCAACATTTAAAATACTTTTAAAATCTCATCAAGATAGTTATAACGTAGATAAACAACGCAACTGTTGCACTAATCCAGATGTAAATCATATGTGAACTGTTATCAATATTAATTAGGGTCGCTCACTAGGCTTCTGAGTTGTGAAAGAAACGTTTATTGAAAGCCATATAAAAGCATTACATCATCGTAACCTATATTGATTGAAGCCAGTATAAACATTGATAAAATTTTGTTTATTACATTTGTTACGGTATTCAAGCAACAAGGAAGTATTGTATTCGTAACAACGATTACTGTTCTTATTAATGGTTCCGTGAAAGAAATCTCGTTATCCAATCTGACAATTACTCTTCCAAGAATCGTAATAAGACTGGCAACTATCATACTAATATTATATTATAATTGCAAAAGTTTTGATGGATGTACGAATAGATGATTTGTTAAAAGGTATCTCCGGAACTGGTCAACGGATCTTCATGAAATTGGCACAGATGTAAAACATAGTCTGGAAGAAAACTTAGGCTACTAATTATGTGTTTTTAAATTCCGCGTGGACGGAGTCACGGTCGAAAGCTAGTAATAATACTTACAGACTAGGACTGGGACCATGATCTGCGTATAAGCAAAGAATATAACGAGGCCGACGCACATCTTCAAGTGATTGAACATCTGCGTGCCGTCGTTGGCCATATCGAAGAAGCACAGTCCTATCAACACGCCGCACATCGTATGGTGTATTGTCTGAATCCATAGAGCTGGAAAATATTATCTTGATATTAAATTTACAAACAAAATTAAATACGCAGACATAGACAGACTTATCCATGTCTGGCGGCACATACCTTGGGTTTCAGAGACTAAAATAATATTAAAAAAGTTTAAATGTATAGATGGATGTTTGTTAGATGGTATCTCCGAAACGGCTCAACTAATCTCGATGATATTTGGCATAGATGTAGACCACAGTCTGGGAGTACGCATAGATAAATGATTCCTAAGTCTTCTTGATTTTTTTAAATTCCACGTTGACGGAGTCGCGGGCGACAGCTATGTTAAATAACTTTGATATAATATATATTATTACCTTGTCGATTCCTTGATATTTGTTTCAACATCCGTCGGAGTAGTATAAAAAACTGTTCAAAACATGTAGTTGGATATCTTCCCTGTTCAGACTTTTGTATTTTCATCCAGGCTAGTGACGAGTTGTCCCTTGATACTTGACTAGATAATGACGTCATAGAGTTTCTAACTTCATATTGATTCACTTTGTACGTACACTTTTGATTGGATAACACGATCTCTGTCTCGCTTGTTTCATCTTCAGCTTGATAGCAAATTTTGAGTTCCAAATTGTTTGATGCTTCAATCGGTGGTATATCCAGTTTTGAAGATTTATATAACTTTCCATTATGAATTTGTTCAGATAGCATTATTATGTTTTGTGGATTTTCTGTGACTTCGATAACTAAAAAAATAAATTTATAATTCAAATCATATCCATAACGAAAACCTAGAGGAACAAATAATAAGCTTTCAAATACAAAGACAAATTTTTCGAATACAATTACTTAACGACATACGAACGAATTATTTTTATTATGAGGAAAGGATAGGAATTGGTAGTAGACTTTCCGGATGGTGGGATGCATGGGAAGGGAAAAAATTTTTGTTCTGTCCATCTCCTCCGTCGTTTAAAAGTAGGCAACGCATATGCAATAGCGTATGTCTATGGGCAACGATCACTTCGCTATTTCAGCGATTTCAGGTGGCCGCTCGCTCATTTGCCCACCTTATGATATAAAAAAAAATTATTAATCTGATCTACTAAGTAATCAATATATTGATAGAAAGAATAAATTATATCGCGTTATTATTTATAGGTAGGAAATAATATAGGAAAATACAAAGTATCACTGTAACAAAGTTTTTGTATATTGTGCAAACACTGTAATGATAATGATGTTTGTTGGATCACGTGTTATTGTGCACGAATAGTTATTACTACCTTATGATTGCCAGATCTATGTCATTCGTGTGACTAAAGGAGAGCAGATACTTTTTATATTGAACACGTTAGCGCTTGACCACGAATCCACCTTATGTTCAGTGATGATGTAGTCCAATGGTTCCCAAACTTACTTTGGCTACTGCCCACTTATTTTCACATATTTAAAAACCAATATAACTTCAAATTAAATTAACTAATCATTGTGACCTATATATGTACATTAACGGAGAATTCTAAACCTCCCTAGGAGAATTCTAAAGGCCTCTACACAACGCCCACATTTTCTTTCTGGGTCTCTTACCACCCCCCTTGAGACCTGCAGCGCCCACAAGGGCGCGTTATCGCCCAATTTGGGAAAGACTGATATAGTCTAAGGTTGGTACGCGCTATTCTCTACCATTGTAACTATAACTAAAATAAGAGAAATAACAGTAGATACCCTACTCCGATTCATGATGACTAATTAGTGTAGATTAATCAGTTGCAGATGCTTATGGGCAGTGGTCACTATACAATTTAGCGAAATCAGGTGACCGCATATGCTCGTTTCCCAACTATTTTTAAAATAGGTATAAATAATTTTATACCTATTTTTATATGACCTTGGGGACAATTAAAGTAATACATTGATGTCATCTTACTGAAATCAGCTGGATTGTAATGTCTTGGACACGGTAATCCCGCACTCTCTAGATGTGGGACCATTGCTTCTGTGTCGCCCTGGTATATGCAGAGTCCATTAGCAATCACATATACCTGGAAAATAATTGAAAAATTGGATACACATTATTTGATATATTTTTTTCTACATCTTACGATGGATGATTATTTGAAGGTATCTCCTAAACGGCTTAACGAATCTCGCTGAAATTTGGCATAGATGTAGAACATTGTCTGGAAGAACACATGAGGTTTTTTTTTTAATTTTGCGCTGACGGAGTTGCGTGCGACGGCTAGTTTAACTAATATAGAAGTTAAAAAGTTCATAAAGTTCTTTTGCCGTTTCCTTCTATAAAAATGATTGTTAAAGTATTTTAAGTAAGTATAGATTTATGGAAGGTTCCAATATATATTATTACTTAGTTTTACAATATAAGTGTTGAGACAATTATAACAAATATAATTATATAAAAAACTTATCATTCGTAACAATAGATTATGTAATAGAATTGCCCCATTATAGTCAATATGTAAAGACAAAACTGCAATGAATACACGCAGGCCCTGAACAAATTTATATTTCCTAAGCAGTTATAACAATGAAAAGTATATGATACCGAAAGCGTACCAAAATGTACTCTACGAATGTACAAAATAAAGCAAGTTACATACATCTAATTCATTTGTTGTAATATTTAAACATTGAATAATATTACAAGTTGTCGTTCCCGTGTGCGTGGTATGAAATCTTCGATACCCAGCAATTTTAGTCGCTAAGACTTTCGCAATGTCAAAGATTCATACACGAGTTGCAGATATTTTGTTAGCCTAAACCAGTCGCTCACAATCTATTCAAAATCCTTGTGCAAAAAGTCGCTACAATTCTCAAAATGGCTGATCAAAACTATATGTTTACTATGCCTGTACTGACTGAAAAGACAACTCGAGTTGACGATTTAACTTTGTGTGTACGGAACGCCCGCAACACGATACTCGCGACGCTGAGCTACAATATTAGTTTCAAAGTTTTACGTCTCCTTATGTACTAAGGGGCTAAGGGATGACAATTGTGTTGATGGAAGTATCAGTACAGTGGAGTTCTAGTATTAGAACGACCTCTAATATGTAGGTCAGTTAAAGAGACATCCCTGATAAGACCCAGACTAGTAGATAAGGCAGGTCACGATGAATCAAGGTTACTAGTTATATTTAAGCGTAAACGAGCAAGTGATATAACAAAAGTAGTAAACAAATAGAACAATTTACTCGATGCTTAAGGCGAAACAAAGTTTTTTATTTCAATACAAGACTAACCTTAAAAAAATTAATCTGAGGACCTAAGACCTAAGTCTTCTGGAACTTTATCAAATATTTTAATAGTTAAGCTTACTAATAAAGATCTTAAAATATTTTTTCCATTGGAGTTAAATCGTAACATGTTTTTTGAAAAAAAATTGCAAGAAATAGACATTTTACTCTTCGTTAAGTACAGTAGAAAAGTTATCATTTCCTTCAAGGATATGTTACCGTGGAAATGTAGAACAGTGGAAATTTTTCAACGCAATGTTACACTCCACCGATTTAAATCGATTATCTAACATAGTACTGTTATGGTTACACATAAAAAACGTACCCAGCTTTAAAAAAAATTATTAGTCTGAATCATAAATTTCTAGTGATCTGTTACTATTTTAGAATAAACGTCCAAAATTCTCTGATAACTTACCTGATCAAAAAGTTCGAGTAGTGAGGCAGATGGTTGGTGTATAGTACACACAACTGTTCTGCCTTGTCTAGCGAGCTGTCGCAATAGTTTCACGCACTGGACTGTAGTCACGGTGTCTAGTCCGCTAGTTGGCTCGTCCAAGAAGAACACTGGGGGATTATTCACCAACTCCAGGGCTATCGACAACCTGTAACATTACATCGTGTGTGTTACAAATCATCGCCACCTTTGATCACCATCAAATCTTGGGTCCGCTTTATTTATGATCGGTATAATTGGATCAGTTGTCACCTTTCTAAAGATATTACCTTTACTACAATGCTCGCATATTTTCCTAAGCCTACCGCTATACCTCCACATTTATTCCTAGCAACTTATTTGTCAATTTTCCCTTCTTATAACATTTGTCAATAATTGTAAGCTCTGTTCCTTTTTCTTTAACACTTGTGCAACTCATAAGCTCCCCCTAATAATAATACGTATTTTGTTTTAAAACAATTTATACTGCTCCGTTATTTTTGAACACACATTAATTGTTAATTTATTTTAAATAGATATAATATAAAGAACGTGGGTTGGGTCGTCAATAAATGTAGACTATAGCTAATGTTTCATTGCGAATTCTTATGATTAAGAAATATAATGTCGCAAAGGAAGTACAATGGTAAACTGGGACACTTTTTCATAAATTGCAACATTAACAGAATGGAATGGAGATAAAATTACGAAACGACTAATGTAAGATACTAAAAGCACTTTCGTTATTACAGTATTGTTCACTGTGTCTCGTTTATTTTTCATAAACATTAGGAATGAAACATATGAAGTTGGAGTTAGCCTGTATACGTTTTAAGATCACGCATAAATACCCTTAAATTTCCGACTTCAGAAATAATGGTAAAAAAAAATTGTTTTCTTAGGTTATAAGAATGCAAAGTTTTCTTTTCATGTTTAACAATATCTTAAAATAATAATGATTATTAAAATACTCATTGTTATAAACTTAACAGCTTTTAAGTCGTCATGTACTTTGATGATGCATTGTTCTTTTCATGCATTTGTAGTTTTTATAGTTTTGCGTCATTGATACTCCTTAAGCCTACAAACTTTGGTTTATGTTATTTTTGTTTGTTACTTTGTTGACTGAGCTATAATACCTAAATACATTATTTTAAAGTTGGATCGTTTATAACTTGAAAGATATCTGGATTGGAGACGATTTCTAGACTTGTTTTCATTTCAACGACGACAATAAACGAACAATAAACTGATACGTCTTCTGAGTCGCAGTTTTATAAAACTAATGCGTGCTTAAGAATTTCACACAACCCACGCGGGCTCTAACGACTAATAAAAACGGTTCTTGCATGCGGGTCCTACAGAATGCGTGAACAGAAATCTCCCGGACCCAGGATGCGGGCGCTAACGATTAATACAAATGCGCCATAATATACGTTGGAATATAATATGGTTTCATCATACCGTTTCTTTTGTCCCCCTGATAACTGATCAGTCTTCGTGTGCTGATGCTCCAGCAGCCCTAACTCTTGCAGTATTTCCTCAGCGTGTGCCGTCGTGCCTTTCGATAGCTTGAGGCTAGCGGCAACGTCCATCGCCTCTCGCACTGAGAGGTAGGGCTGCAGCAGGTCTTCTTGCGTGATGTAACACGAAGACCTCTGGAACAGCTGCTCGTCTCGCACCTGCCCATTCACCAGCAGCTCGCCTGTGACGCCAGCTGATCTGTTATAAGGAAAATATATCTTGAGCACAGATCTGTTGCCACCGTACTTTTAAATTAGTCCGTATGAACATCGCAAAGTTTTCTATTTTCCTAGTACATAATTTCAGGGATAGCTATACTCAGATGCATTAGGTATTCCGTTGGTAAATGAAGTGTTGTTATGGGTATAAGAAATGTAGACTAAGTGACTGTTTTTTTCTAAATTCTTTTGATGGAAAAATTGTCAATCAGAGTGGTTAAACTCTTGAGGTCAAGTCTTACAAGATTTTCGAAGTATGATTTGGCTTAATATTGTTAAATGAAACATAATACTTCAAACAACTTACCTGTATCCTGATATAGCGTTTAGCAGTGAACTTTTACCGGCACCTGAGGGACCCATGATGGCTACAAGCTGTCCCGACAGGAATCTACCACTCACACCTTTTACAATATGTTTCTGATCTCCTACAACAAAAAATAGTCTAATTTATCTTTCAATACACTATGTAAAAGACTCTGGGTACTAAGCCTATTTGGAAAACACTAGGCAGCCAGGAAAATATGTATGGAGATACCGTTTTCGCACATATTTTGAGCACTTAGGCAAAATCAAGGACACACAACTAACGCGTCACGGACCCTCTTGCTCGAGCGATTTTATACATAATTATCAGCGTGTATATCAATCTCTTCTTCCCCAAGGTTCACATTTAAACGTGGAACATATATTTGCTTTTTAAAATAAAAGTCTGTCAATCTCATCATCATCATCAGATCACAATACATCATCACCGAGGGGCTCGGAGCATATCCTAAGTGATTAGGCTATTGTCAACCACGCTGATCCAGTACGTGTTGGTTGACTTCACACTTATATTTGAATTTCTTATTAGATATGTGCAGCTTGCATCACGATGTTTTCCTTCAGCGTGAGAACGTCGGATAAATGTACATATGTAAATCGGAAATGGAAAAACACATTGGTAAATGGCGGGATTCGAACCCATAACCTTCAGATTGCAAATCAAGTACTTTACGCCTGAGCTTTCGACGCGCTGTCAATCTAGATGCACATAAACATCAATTGTTCTTTTTTAAAATTTCCATGTTTTTATCGCTCGGTCGTTTTAGTATGCAAAGGGCTTCGCAATGAGTAGCACAGGACAGACAATACCTCTGTCGACCCGATTGCAATATCCGGTTCCCGTAACTCGAATAACTATTGGCAACACGTCATACAAATGCGATAAACGGACTGTATTAAACATATTCAATGTAATCATGACCCATATATGTCTCAATTGTTTTTGCATGATGTCACTTTATATAAAACTAGCTGTTACCCACGACTTAGTCAGCATGGAAATAAAATAAATAGCCTGAGTTACTCCCCCATAAATCAGCTATCTTCCAGTAAAAGTCCCGTCGAATCGGTCCAGTTGTTTAGGAGATTACCCGGAAAAAACTTGGACTTACGGACAGACAGAGAGAAACATTTTTATTATGGATTCTCGTTATAAGTATCGCAAATACACCACGTTCACGAAATATGTTTTTTCCGATATAACATACACTCCAATTTATTAAGTATATAGATAGATATAGTCCAAAGTCTACCATGTACCGATTAGTGTAAAAAACATAAATTATCATTTACGTATTTGTGTTTTTAAATCTTTTGTTTCAATATGTGGTTACAATTTATTTAACTTAAATGTCAAAACTTCGATAGGTGTTAATTAGAAAACATTATTAACTCGCCGAGTCATTTTAATAAGTTACTTTTTAGTTCTTGAAAATACATAACCTAAAAAAAAGAACTTCGATAAAGAAATGAGAGTTTACACACATGTTGTTTTTCTCTTGGAGTATACTAATTTAATTTAACATATATTTTTTACACTATTAGCAGGAAGTCAACTGATAAATCCGTACATGAGAATGGCGAAATATAAAGCGTTTTATATAAAAAAATTATACAGAAGTTGAGTTGTGTTATGTGCCCAGTATTTCAACTACCGCATTATTTGTTGGAAATTGTTCAATAAAATGTAGTAAAATAAAACAAAATAAAACCTTTTGCATTAATAATGCAAACATATGAAGGTCAGAATCGTAACAATGTAATGTACACGCAGTTGAAAACTGGTAAATGGAATTAGTTACATTTTAAATTTTCCCACTTCTTGGTAGACCTTTGTCTTTTTTTTTGTATCAATTTATAAATGCCGGGAATGTACTTTAAAACAAGCAATAGTTATTAAAATAAACCTATAAAACCGAGAACTTATTACTTGCGCACGGCGCAAAATACTACGAGTCGACTATATTTACGTACTGATTAGTTACCAATTTACATATACTAAATATCTAAGTTTACAGTTAATCGGAATGACTGTATGTAATACTAGTTGTCCCACTAGACTCTGTCCGCATGCAATTAAAAAAAACTTATAAGTAGGCTACGTGTTCTTCCAAACTATGTTCTACATCTATGCCAAATTTCAGTTAGATCCATGGAACCGTTCTGGAAATATCTTCTAGCATTCCATTCATCCAATCATTGGCATTTTAATATTCGTAAGATGAAAAATAATCATATTTAGTGTTCGCTTTACCTACAACGAAACTATTTTTTAAATTCCTGTCTGTTTTCTTTGTCTGTCAGTCCGCAAGGTGCGTTTGTTCCGAAACGGGTGAATCGATTCGACGAAGTCGTAGACTACCACTAGTAAATTAATAAAATTAAGAAAGCTGCTTGTCAGATTCTGATATTTCATAGTGAGTTCTGGGGATGTCGAGCAGTTTTACTGTTCCAAAAAATTAAAAAACAACTATTTTACCATCAATTTCCTTATAATTATGATAATTTCGACAAATAGTCGACGAAAAGTATTTAGTTATACGGAATATTCATTTAAAATGTTAATTTAAAATGTATAATTACTAAAGCGGAAGGACGATATAAGTCGCCGTAGGTTGAAACGGCGATTACGGGTTTAGCTCTACTAGCCCTGGGCAGATTTTTACAGCGCCCTCTTTATCATGCCTTTGGGGAGGTAAACAGGGTTGTGTGACACTGAGTAATGCGTAGACATGTGGCTAACCTTCATGTCCTGCGCCTTTCTATTTTATTTTTTTTAGAATCTGGCTTCCTAAGAATACTTTGCCAATATATGTTCAGTGGTTTTGGAACGATTAGAGGACCATACATACAAAAAATAACTGTATTTTTTTTATAAAGACAAGAATTTTTATTTCAATAAGAAGTACTTAACTCAATATTAATTATTAAGTGACTAATTAATTAATCTACCAAAATAATACTATGAACTATATATAATACTAAAACTAAACCAAACTAAAAATAAAACTGAATAATATAAAAAAATCGACCCCAAATCGCTGCGGTCGCACGGTAGGGATCCCAAGAGGCTGGCGGCATTTCCCCGTTGACAAGTAGACAAGTAATACGATGTACCAAATATTAAAATACAGTGGGCTAACATAATTTGTTTTATTTATTTATACTAATTCATCGATTAGCAACAAACTAGTATTGCATATCGAAGCCTAGACACTTTGTTATAATGTTGGTACTGTAATGTACTACATTAACAGAAATAGAGCTCTTTTATCCATAAAGTTGGTAATTCTGAATGTTAATCACAAATAAAGAGACGTTTACCGTAGCGTACATAACTATACCGATCCCTATTCCCCAAGATGCATTTGTATCACTTATTCTGTCTGACATATTTCTGTATGGTCCCAATGATCCTGAATTATCTCCCTTCTGAATCATATTTATTCACGTACTGTTAACTTATAAATGCGTCGTAAATTACTAAATACGCACTACGATGTGCAATGCGTTACGCAGTACGCACATTCGACACTCACACTGAAGTGCACACACACACATACGTACTCGTAATATTTCAATTGTTTCTTTCTAAACCTTGCTACAAAGAGCTGGTGATCAATTGAGTGTGATTGATAACTGGATCATACTTAATCTGTACCGAGGAGTAATTATTTGTGTCAATCTGTGGTTCTGGGTAAACGGAATACAATAAATATATTTATACTTTGTTATTTGTTATCGTACGGATGTTTATCGTTCCGTATGACCCAGCGATCCATATTCAAATGACACATTGTCCTTGAAACAATTGATAGCGTACTTTTTGTTTGTTTGTTTTGCACTATGTATGTATGTTATATCGAAAATATGATTCATATTACGTACATATGAAGTATTTAAGTTTATGAATTAAAAAAACAATTTTTAATGTTATTTGATGTTCGTCTGTCGTCTGAAGGTATCTTATACAAATATAAATGCGAAAGTTTAAATGCACATGTTTAAATTAATGGATAGATGTTTGATTAAAGGTATCTCCAGAACGGCTCAACGGATCTCTATAAAAAAAGAAATATTCGGGAAGAACACATAGGCTACCAATTATGTTTCTTTTTATTTCCGCGCGGACGTATTCACGTGCGACCACTATACATGGATATGATCAAATTAAACGAGCCGTCTAATCCATTCAGATCAACTAATAACCCATTGAATAAATCTTTATTAAATAGAATTATTAAGTGATAACATGTCAGATAATATATTAATATTACTTGATTCTGACAGTTCAAAATGACAGTCGCGCAGTAAGCGTACACAGACAGACAATCAATTACACGGTTAAATTTATGCAATAAATAAGATATTGCAGCTTGTTAGTGCATGTACGATGACCTATTGACTTCATTAATGAATACTACTAATAAATAGCAGAATTATCATAGTTTAAACTTGACATAAATACTAGATAACAATGACATATAAAATTGACCACAATATTATTCCAATGGAAAGTGGCTTTTTACATTTTACAGTTTAATAATCGACATTGGCATTGGATGCGGGCGGCACAGGACCGAGCATTGTGGCAATCCATGGGGGCAGCCTATGTCCAACAGTGGATAAATTTTTATTACTATTAGTGTTAAGTATTCGTTATAATTTCCTTATATCAGATTGATGAATTATTCAAGAAATATTAGCACCCAACACCGACGTGCATGTATGCATATATTAGGAGAGAAGTTTGTAAGGACCTAGCCAAATGGCGGTCCGTGATCGCTGTCTACCCCTCAGGGCACAGTCAGGAGTTATGTTGTTGTAATTTCCTGAAATAGAAACCATAGAGACGTAGAAGTTCTACTTAGAATGGCTTCTGTTCATCGAATGCAAAGCAATTTGACTTGCGATAGATTTTACTATTCTATATTTAAAAAGAGACATTTTATCATAATAATTATATAATTTAGAGTGCCAATAGCCTAATGGTTAAGGGTATGGATTTGCGATCACGTGGTCGAGAGTTCGAATCCCGCCATACGACTATTGTCGTAAACATATGATTACGACAATAGTCGAATGGCGGGTACAAGAAATATTAGTAAGTTAACAAAAACCTGGTTACATTAAAAAAAAATATTGCTAATCATCGGAATGTTTTTTTTTTCATGGACAATTCAAACGTACCAAAGTTGGAGCAGCGTCAACTAAAATTCATTATAATTATACGCTATATTTGTACGATACCGTGTGTCTTACTTTGTCTCGTTGCTATTTATACAGAATCTTGGCAAAGTGAAACGATGAAAGCAGCACGGTATTCGGCACATTGACTGGCTTGGATGTAAAAGTTTATATAACAAAGCAGACAAGAATGTTTGGGGAAGTATCAGCTTAAGTTTGATTTGTCAAACTGTAAATAAACTAGCGGTCGCCCGCTACTTCGTCCGAATTAGAAAAATGTAATTAATAGACTATGTGTTCTTGTAGACTATGTTCAATATGTATGCCAAATTTCGTTGAGATCCGTTCACCAGTTCTGTAGATACCTGCAAATAAACATCCATCCATCCATCTAAACATTCGCATTTATAATATTAGTTATATAAATTTGTACTAACTACTCTTCTGTACTTAACAGCATCAAAGTATAGTGTAAGTCATAAAAAATTGCTAGTGTTACGCAAGAATTCCGGAGCGCGGGAATGTCCCAGCCCCTGAGGTTAACATGGCAGATAAACATTGATATTGATGAGGAAAATCGCCAGTTTATACAAAAAAAATAAGGGGAGATATTGAGAAATTCTGTTTTTAAATACCTACGGTAAACTCTAGCAACATTTTCAGACGTACTTCCTTGAATGATTCATTCGTAGTGCAACTTCACGAGTGCGCAAGCGCATCAATTGTTTCTGTTACAAATGAATTTATTTTTATGGAAACTGGGCTAATTTCAAAAGTGTACATTTATGTTTATTAATAACAACTGAGATTACTACATTGTAAAAAACTCGTACTTGTTTTTTTATGTTAAGAATCACTGCAATTTAAACGACGGTAAAAATACAAATATTTAGAACTGTATTTGGTGAAATTAATCTATTAATGATAGTAAATGAATAAAACTTGACCGAGTTGTTTTATCCCTTAATATAATAAGTGATAACACTATCTTTACACGAGGACTTTGTTTATACTCAAAATATATGTTTTTTTATTTTTAAAAGATCATAATTTTTGATTCACCAGTCAATTGAATAGATAACGTTGGATAGATAAAAATTGTTTCAAAACAACAAACATTTAATTTTAATTTCGTAACAAAATTAATTAAACATACATCAATATATTACGAACTATCTTATCCTGATTTTAATAAGTCCTCTTTCTGATTTATCTTTATCGTATCTGTAGAGTATGCATAAACGTAGTGTTGTTTGTCTCGAGCGTACATGCAGGAGAGAGGGTACGTCATTCGATGTCAGACCTTTGGACCGGCAACACGTGTCGGTACATGAACGAGCCAAATATAACGCAACGAATACTACAGTATCAATTACTTAAAAACTCATAAATACTACGACACTATTAAATAACATAATGGCTATTTATCTATATTGTGGTGGAAATAATCATATACTTTTATCATTACCTTTTGTTATGCGGCTGTACACAGTGTACGAAAGGTTTCGGAACTCCAAATCCATTGTGGATAGGCTGAAAAAAAACAAAACTGTTTTAATTAAACTTTTACTACGATAATAACTTACGTAATTAATATTAATTCACATAGGACAATGTCCTCTATTAGATTTGTAACAGTAAGACTTCGATCTATAAGCTATTGAATTTATTTTGGAGTCTTAGAAGAAAATAACGTTATCTATACTTATATTATAAAGCGGAAGAGTTTGTTTGTTTTGCGATTGTTTGATTAAACGCGCTTATCTCAGGAACTACTGGTCCTATTTGAAAAAAAAAATTGTTGGATGGACAATTAACAGAGGAAGGCTTTAGGCTATATAAAATTACGTTGCGACCGATAGTACCGAAGAGTAAGTGAGAAGACGAACAGTGACTATTATACGGGAGTTTATGTTGTAGAATCATACGGTCACATTTGCAAATCTTTACTTATATCTGTTATATATCTGACTGCACCAAAACGGTCACTAGGTTTTCTCTAACACATCTTGCACTTATAGAAATGAGTTGGCATTTTATTCTTGCAATCTTGTTTTTGTTGAACCTACCTCAACGTATATCAAGACCGTTACTTTCTCTTACTGTACCGGTCCTACTGCTTTCACTGCACGCTTATGCCTTTATTATTTATAGCTTAAACAATAATACTTTTACTCTTATAATCTTTGGTTCATATACTTTTTTTACCGAAGGATTCGAGGTAACGATTAAGCGATAGTCAACCACGCTAGTCCAATGCTGTGATCCAGTAGAATAATGTAGGTTGCATCACGATGTTTTCCTTCCCCGTAAAAATATCGTATAAAATGTAGGTATGAAAATCGATAAATTTGTTGGCACATGCCTGGGATCAAATCCGCCTACTAGTTTTCCCAGATTCCATCTGCGCGGAATAGAAAAAGAATTATTTAATAGCCTATGTGTTCTAAAAAGACTATGTCTTACATCTGCCAAATTTCATTAAGATGCATTAAGTCGTTCCGGAGATACCTTGTAGCATACATATATCCATCCATCTATTCAAACTTTCGCATTTATAATACTAGTAATATTTCCTGTATATTTAAATAAACTTAATAGTCTATTAGGAATCACGCATCCTTTTAAATATTCGTTTTATCTTATATAATTATACCTTAGATCCATAAAAATGGCAAATCTTGTTACACCTACGTCCGCAACAAAAAATAGAAGTTAATCATATGAGTTCGCGTCATTTATAATGCCTTAGTAATTATACGACACGATTACTTTGAAATAATTACTTATTATTTACATTCCAATCTCAATCAGGACAATGTACTCAAGAGTATTTTAATTAGAAGAATTCTGCGTAATTATAATAGACACTGGATAAAATTCACACGATACAAATTAATTGTATTCAAACATCTCCGCGTGACTCAATAATCACGTGTCTACGTAGATAGATTAAAAATTAAACAATTAACATTCCTGGCATTTAGTATCTGTTGTTCTTAAAGATAATCATAGGAATATATCATCTCGTAAAATTATGTAACGAAATTAATAGTGTTATGGTCATTACGAAGTAGAAGTATTGACCGCTACTTCTACATAACTCGGATCTTTCTCGAAGCGTGCACTTTCACAAGCTCAGTTGACTCTCTGACGCGATACGTAGAAATCCGCAACACTCCCACACTTATTAAATACTTGAACCTTGAGAAAATCTAATATTGTCACGGGCATACATTTGGCAACGCACAAACAAATTATGAGGTCAGTTAACTAATTATTGATTAATTTAAAATTAAATATGATTATGGTTTAACGAATTATCGACAAGACGCTGTACCATAACAAATTGATTAACAAAGCATTTCATTGAATATTATTTTCATTAATTATTTTTACGATTCCTTATCATTGTTTGAAAATAAAGAAGATTTCATTTTATAATATTCATTTCATATTTTATTAAAATATAACATAATCATAGAAATTAAAACTATTTAATTTGTAGATATTTATAAAGGTCCCCATTTCAATATTTTTTTTTACCAACGGTTGCCCGCGACCTTGTCCGCGCGGTATAAAGTTTTTTTTAATAATAGCCCAAGTGTTCTATAAGCTTATACTCTACATATATGCTAAATTTCATCGAGATCCGTTGAGCTGTTGCAGATACCTTCTAACAAACATCCATTCATCCAAATATTCGTATTTATAATATTAGTTAGAAGTGAGATAGCAGCCTTTCGTCTTGTCAACCACAAAGGCATGGTAATTATCTTCATGTTTATTTAAGGGACGTTTCTAGAATTTCTGGTCATTTCAACAACTTTTAACAGTAATGTTCAAGTGCGAATTGATTCTAAAACTGTTAAATGCAACAAGTTTGTCCATTTGAACTTTTATGTACATAGTTTGTATCGAGGTGTAATAAATTGTTCTACTTAGATGCATGCTACCTGTATTTTTATTGCAATATTAAAAATGTGGCTGCGAAAACTTTTTTTTCAAAAACAAAAAAAAAATATTTTTTCCATTTAATAGCGACATTTTAATTCTTTATTGAAGAAAATTCCTTTGAAAAAGTCGACCTCCTTCGATACTGTTTACGTGAACATTCGTAATTAGTAAATTTCAAGAAAGTGTTAGGCTCTTCATACACAAGCAACGGAAATATTCGAAAGTAATATTGTTCTCTTGCAGCGTATGTAACGCGTTTCGCGCGCTTTATACACTTGACGTTGAATCTTCGAAGCGAGTGATCTATTCTGTCACTACATGCGTAGTGTCTACATGTCAACTATATAGATTTGCTCCGTCATCTTGAAAATCGCGGCAACTTTTCTCAAGACGATATTGAAAACCAGTTCGCGAATGGTTTTGGCGAAGAAAGAACTGACTGTAGGCGACGTCTGTACACGAACCTCTATGACATTGTATTGCATCAGTTTAGTGACTAAAATATTTAAATTGCGTTGTGTACGAAGGGTTTTATTTTACGATTTGACGCAATAAAATATTTCCATAAATTGGATTTAATATATTCTTTTCACGATAATGCATGTTTTTATTTGTTATCATAAATTAATGAGGACTTCAAAATTTATTATGATATTTCATTATATAAATTGATAAAATTTAATGTTTCAATTAATTTTAATAAATAAATTTTGTGTTTGTCTTTTGTAATATTTTATGTTATTCTTACATACAGTGTGTTGCACCGACTTGCATTTACCGCTAGGCGATAGGCGACTGGTATATTTACTGTTAGGTTCTCTGGTGGCAAGGTGACAAATGAGGGCATGATAGAACACGAAGACAATTCATTTTTTTTAGAGAAGGGGAAAAACGAACATGGGAATGTCTAATATTAATTAATCCGACGTCCATGGACATCGCAACGCCAAAGGAACTGCACCACAGGAAAAGTTTTAAATTTAATTTACATATTAAAACCTATTTGCTTAAAAATCTAGCAAAAACTAACTGGCGTCTATCTTCAATGTTTCATCAAAGCTTTTGAAATTTAAACATCATTAAAAAGCAACGTAAAAGAATGAAGTACCATTGAAAAGCATCTGACCTTACGCATATTACTGCGATGTTAACTACGGATTTCGTCAAAACAAATTTGTTCAGCAATAATGCAATTTGACCATCAAGACACGGCATTATCTTTTTTATAAATATTCCATTTAGAAATAATAATAGTTTTGATTTATGGCAGTTTTTCCTGAGACAGATTTTGAGCTCTTACGTCTTAGGGCAAGATATCTTAAGAAAAATAACGGTGTCTTTAACCCTGGCTGAAATCTCATACGCCTTGTACTCCATGAAAGAGAAGTAATTGAATAACACCACGCTCTTTAAAATCAGTCCAACATTCATCATCATCATCAGCTCACTATACGTCCCCACGGAGGGGCTCGGAGCGTACCCTAAGTTAAGGGTGACTAGACCTTAGTCAACCACGTTAGCCAAGTGCGGGTTGGTTGATTTCACACATATCTTTAAATTTATTCGCAGACATGTGCAGATAGAATCACGATGTTTTCCTTCACCGTAAGAACGTCGGATAAATGTACATATGTAAATCGGAAATCGAAAAACACATTGGTACATGGCTGGATTCGAACCGAGGACCTAAAGATTACGTGTTGTGTGTGTTGTTGACAAGTGTTGAAACCCCTGAGCCACCGACGTTCTCCAATATTGCTTTCTTGTAACTATGACAGGAAGAAAAGAAACTTCTATATATTTTTAATATGCCTCCCATCCGTCCCAGGGTAACACGGTCTAACTAGTGCTGTTTACGGTTTAGGTATTAAATGAGGCATCCTTGGGTTGACTGCAAATGTCAATGAAACAAGGAAAATAAAGTTTTAATAAAATCTATTCTTTCGAGATAGACAATTGTCCAAAAACCGTGTCTTTAGAATTGTTTGCCTAATAATTGGTTATTTCGTCATCGAAATGAAAAACCACTGAATTTTATCCTCATCCATATAAAAAAATCAACGCGATATTAAATTATTATAAACTATATCTTAATATAACTAATTTGCATACTAGTAGATAAAAATCAAATCAGGTTTTTAAAGATAAACCTGATTTTGAATTGAGAAAATTTGGACTTATGCGGAACTGTTGTTCATTAGGTAAACCTAAATCGTTTTGTATCACTAATCTTCTACCGCGTACTTACCCATGATGGAAGTAGATAGAATCGTCAAAATATAAATAGAACTCATTGTCGCCGCGACTTCGTTTGACAGATATAAAAAAAACTTGACTAGCTTATGTATTCTAGGTTATGTTATATTTATGCCGAATTCCAGCGATATCCATGCAGCCATTCTCTACCTTCTAGAAACATCCATCTATATATCCAAACATTCGCATTTTAATATTACTAAGAGTAATATAGGATGATTCACAGATCCCACTGCATGTTAGCAATGTGGGCAAACGTGTGTTGATCAATAAGGAAAGCTAACATCTTTTATATCACATTTTTCTTGGTAGTAATGATA